TCACTTGCCAGGCAGAAACTTATGCAACTGAGCAATCTCCCTGGCCCTACTAGGGATCTTTAGAATTCAAAGTAGTTGTAGTCTTTTGTCAGAACACATTGGTCTAACTCCATTAAATATAAATTCTGTTCTGTTCTATTTTTTAAAACTAATGCTTCTTAAATTGCATAATTTTGATGCAAATTTAGGGTTTCCTTAAACTCAGTTTACTCTTCTAGAGTTTGTACACTTATGTCTTTGTTGATCTTGTACTTAGCAGTAAACAAGCTCTCACAAACGGGGTTACATCCAGTTCCAAAGTTGCTCTTTCATGTTTAGTAAATTGCTTACTTTGTAACCTTGCTAGCTGCCTACAAAGGTAGCACACACACAGAACAAGGTTAATAAACCTTGAAGAAAATGTCACACAAGGCAGCCTAGGCGCAGTGCAATGACACCCTGGGATGGACAGGCTCTGGGACGACTCTGGAGTCTCCTTACTCTAAGGGGCCAGGTGTCCTTTGTGGGACTTAGTCATCAGAACAGAATGGACTGTTAAACTACCATGCCTACACATGCCACGCACTTGGTATAAGTTAGCGCTAACCGTAATGATTAGAGCTGTAAAGTACAAATTCTTTAAAAAACTTTTTTGATTCAGTGTCTCACTGTGCAGCTCAGACTCATAGTGATCCTCCTGTCTCAGCCTTCCCAGTGCTGGGATTACAGGCGTGGGTTGGCACAGCATGCCCAGGGTTCCAGGACCAGCACAGCATGGTGTACCGGGAATCGAATTCAGGTCCTTGCACTTGCCAGGCAGGCACTTAGGCCACAGAGCTATGTCCCCAGCTGGTTTTAGGCTGAGAATCTAAACGACTTGACAAGAATCACAAAAATAGTACGTAGAGACCTGGCATGCTGCGCAGCGAGACCCTGTACGAAATGCATTAAAAAAAGAAAGAAAAAAAGAAAGAAAGAAAGAAAGAAACACGCAGAGAATTAAATATACTTTTAAAAGCTAAGGCTTTCCTGATTTTATTTCACACATAAAGGTTTATTTTTACCAGTTGTATGTCCGGCATTTAAATGAAAACAAATTCATCTTATATAAGGAATCTGGGAGACTAAGGAAATAAAATGGTACTTTATTCTAAACATTTACTTACCATATATAATTATGATACTGTATGTGTACACTTATTACAGATAACAGGTTTGCTAACCTTGTCATGGATGGGAAATTAATTGCAAAAGTATAATGATGAATCTCCGTATTGCTGTTACATCAAGATTTTGGACCTGAAGTAGATTTTTTTAAAAAAAATAGTTTTGTGACTTTAGGTAGAACTTATAAGTAGTAGAATGTAGAAGTTCACTATAAAACTGCATGAGTTTAGTGCTTTCAAAATTATGGCTGTGTTACAGCATTTTAATGTGACTGACAGCTTAATGCCGGTATAATAAAAATTTCTTGTCAACTTGTTCCCTGCTGAATGCACGAAGCACTTCAGTCTAAGTGTCAGGCTGAACTACTAGACGTGGAGAAGAAGTGAACCTGCGTAGAGCCATTTCTTATTGCAAGGGGCACAGAATGACACCAGAGTACATGGCGGCAGAGGGATTTTTTCATAATTATGTAAGCATGGCTGTTTGAAATGCTTTAAATATGCCATCTGGGTTTGTTGTTTCGTATTGAAGATCCCCTGCAAATAATTCTCACCTTGCCAAATAAGTTCAGAGCTGTATGTGAATTTTCAGTTATCTAAACATTTCTTTTGGTACTAGGTTTGAATTACATGAAGTTTATGAGGCTGGTCCAAATGCGGCATCATTTATCTCAACGATATCCACCTTTAAAATTCCCTATTTATAAGTCTCATGTTATTTTTCTCACAAGTTTTATGTTCATCTAAAAGCATGACTTCCCCCCATTTCAGGTTCTGCACTGTGCCTTTCTGGTCTGCTCCTCCACAGCACACTGCTCTGAGAGGCAAACCTTCTCCCAGAACCGCCCTCTCATCCTCCTTACCTCTCCTCTCAGTTTACTTTTAGTTTCAGAAACAAAACCAAAACCATTTCCCAGTTCTCCTTCCTTCACCCTTCCTATCCCCTTTGGTGGTTTAGAGTAGCAGGGTGGAGTTCGTTTCCTTCAATCCTTAACATCTAGCATCTTTAATGTCTATGGCATTCTTTAAAAAAATCACTTCTTGTAAATGATGCCTCATTCTTTTAAAATACAGCTCTCTTTTCTTTCATTTTGATAATATTTCTGTATCTCTTGGTTTTTCTAGTGCCATTTACTCTTAGTTCTGTAGGTCATCACTTCCTTTTACCTGCTTATCTACAGACACTATCTGGACTTTTAGCATTACAAGGTTCTCAACACTGGCTATCCATCAGAAATACCTGTGGAATTAAAAAAAAAAAAAATGTCATTGTTTCAGCTCATCCCGCTGGATCAGTCACTTCAAGAGGAGGAGGCTGGAAGGTGTATTTCTATGAACTCTGCTGCTAAGTCTCATACCTAACCCTGGCAGTACACACTGCATTTTTTTTTTTTTTTTTTTTTTCACACTGCATTCTTAAAGGACCTCTCCAACCTTCCCTCACTACTCTGCTGTCCCAATTTTATGGCTTTGGGGCTTACACAGTCAGGCAGGCCATTATTCAGTATTATATGGATTACTGTAAGGAAAAACATCATTCTGTGGTCAAGCTTGCGAAAAATCACACAACACAGAGGTTATTCTACTGGACAACCTCTCAACAGCACTGTACAGTACACCTCAAATACCAGTAACATTTAAGACTCCCCTTACTCAGTGAATAAGTGCTGCCTGCACTCAAATCATCTCCTCCCTCCTACGTATCACTGCCAAATGAGGAGCACGAGGCATAACTCTACTCTTGACGCCCTCCTCAAAAGCTTCATCAGCCTTGGGCTGCAAAGCCAAATTTACCTTCTGCACATGCACATGCACAAGCACATGTAAGGTTCTGTAAGGTCTGGAGAGAACCTCTGCAATCCAGTGCTTCTTTTTTATTACACGATAAGAGTGCAGACTTTGATGGCAGACATGCAATACGTGATCCTGAGGATGCTCACCCTTTATGAGTACTATGAATCCTGTACGTCTAATTTGCTCAAGAAACAAAAAGACAATATTGCCTCCATCTAGAAAGGCTATCTGGACAACTGCACATTGATCCACCTCATATTTTGTGGGGGAGAACTTGTTATCACGCATTAAAAATGATTCTCAAATTTCAATCCACATCATTGTCAGAAGGCATTCTTAAAAACATGAATGCCTGGGGCCGGCCTGATAGCTCAGCAGACTAAAGCGCCTGATTAGGCACAGTGCAGTGGCCGGGGTTCAATCCCAGGCATGCTGTACCGGCCCTGCCCCTGGGATGTGCTGAGACAGAGATTTGAGACTGAGCGCGGTAGCACCTGCCTGTAATCCCAGCACTTGGGAGGCTGAACACAGGAGAATCACTACAAGTCTGATCTACATAGTGAGACCCTGTAGACCTCATTCTAAATACAGGGAAAAAAAAAAAAAAAAAAGAATGCCTGGCCTCCACCTTTAGTGGACTTGTTATGTCTGTGTAGGGGTCAAGCTCTATCGTCCAAGGTGGAAATCAATAGCAATGTTGTAAATGTAAAGCGCACACCAGACCTCAGACTATTAAAAGAATAATGCTAAATAATTCATTAATGATTTTTAAAATTGAGGACTTACTAGAATATTTCAGATATCAATAAAATGTTTTATTCATGTTAATCTGACTTATTTCTTTTTACTTTTTAATATAGGTTCTAGGAAGTAAAATGTGATGTCATTTGCACTGAATGCCACTGATCAGCACAGCTAAGAAATCTGGGTTCAAAATGTTCTCTTGCTTAGAAATCCATGGAAGGCTTTTTGAGAAACAATACACAGAACACAACTCTAGCTCTCCAGAAAACCTGACATCTTTATGTGTCTTTTTATTCCCAAGTTAACTGTTCAGATGTACTCTGAACTTTGAGTCATCAAATTTGCTAAAAATTTCATTTTTTGTTTCCTCAGTTTCCAAAGAATCAGTTTTAATTCCATTTCATGACCCAAATTAAAAAAAAAATCTTAGAACTACAGCTTAGATTTGTTCCCAAGTCAATCAAATAGTTCGCATTCTAGAAGAATTGAGTTTTTCTTTGGTTATTCAATTTCATGATGAAATAAACTATTTGTTTTTTTTTTAAATTTAATTTAATTTATTTATTTATTTGTGTGTGTGTGTGTGTGGCCAGCTCAGCCCACCAGGGGGCGGGGCTGGCTGGCATGTGGTGCTGGGGGATTGAACCCCGGTCCCTGATGCTTTGCTAAGCTTATTCTAAGTAGGTACTTTAGACCACTGAGCCATCTCACCAGCCCAAACTATTTGATTAGATTCCAAATCACTGAATATCACTCATCATGCTATTTTTTATGCTACAGCAATTTAGTTAGATGAGGCAAACAGGAGATATCTGAGAGAAGAGGGTGTCAGGCATGAATCCTAAGGATGGTTGAAGATTGGAAAACTAATGGTCACTAACACCAGTTAGGGTGCAGAACAATGCTGACTGGAACGGTGCTGATGAGGTAAACAGCCACAGAACTAGGCATAGCTTCAATGGCTGATGAGAAATAATTTTTGTTAAGATTTTTTACTTACCTCATCGCCACATTGCTGCCATCAATAACGATCGGTCTCAGATTTTCACCATCATCTGTTATGCTCTCTTGCATTGGGGACTCCGATCGCTGAGATTCCAGGGAATTCGTTTCCCGCATTATACTGGGAATCGGATTAACCGTTTGATCCGCTTCAGTCTTATTTCCAAGTTTGACGAGTTCTCCCAAAATATCATTGATTAAAGCATCGGTACCAAGCTTGGTTAACACAAGCTGCACTTGCTCTTCAGAATAACCTAACTTCAGGGCAAACTCCAGCTTTGTTTGGTATTCTCGCACCACAGCAGGGGCTTTCTTGACTTCCTTGGGTGGAATCTGGGGCTCTTCAGGTTTAATGTCTTGCAAAATTTCATTATGTTTGAGCAGGTGAGGCTCTAAACAGGGAGACCTACACAATTGTCTGTGAGTCTTGGTCAACAAGCATGGCTCAACTGAAATGCCACTCGACGGTTCTGACTCAGGATCGGAGTGTGCGCTCCCGTCGGAGTCTCCAGAGCTCAGGTTCTCTTCTGACGCCTCCTTTTCCTCCTTCTGGGCGTGCGCTGTATCCATCGCTGAGTTTTCCACCATTGGCCAAGGCACGGCTGCACTTACGTGTGGCTCCGTGCTGTCCGCGTAGAGGTGGCTGAGGTCCTGCCCCAGCGGGTCCTTTAAGCCCATGAAGCTCTTACACGTACTGGACTTCGCTGTGTTGCTGTTTCTGTACTCCTGAATGCAAAGGACCCCGTATTCCTGGAGAAAAATGTGAAATATTTAAAATTTCATCTTCACATTTCATTTGTCTCAGTGGACAAATCAAAAAAACATTCCCAATACCTACTGCATATGTCTACACCCACTTAGCACCAGCCAAAACCACATTGGGATTTTGTTTTCAAATGAAGAAGTTACAAAGTATAAAGACCACATAACTTTTTCTTTCTTTCTTTCTTTCTTTCTTTCTTTCTTTCTTTCTTTCTTTCTTTCTTTCTTTCTTTTTTTGTGGTCCCAGGGATTGAACTCAGGACCTTGCGCTTGCCAGGCAGGCAGTTATGCTGCTGAGCTATCTCCCCGGCCTCAACTAACTCTTTTTAGACAATAAAGTTAGGAAGTAGTGAAACTTTTATTTAGTTTTTTATCATACTCAGAAATTCATGTGTGCTCCACTATGTCCCACTCCTTCTTAAACTTGATGGAAGAGATTTCTACTTATATATATCTAGGAAGACACATGGAGTATTTTTAAATGCATGTTTTAGAAGACAGGGTATGTATATTTTCTTTAAAAGAATATATAAAAGTTTTTAAACATTATTTTATAGGGAAGAGAAGGGGGATGAGAAAAGGAATTAAGATGTGTTATGTGTGTCAACTTCCCACAAGGAATACAAACACTATACACTACACATGTGTTCTAATAACCCAAAATAATACAAAGACTACAAAAATGATTTTAAAGAGAAAAATCATAAAAAGTAAAATTAATTCAAATGAAGCTTAACAACAATTTAGATCCTGAAGAAATATACATTCGAAAATGGCCAACAAGTAAACAATTACAAGTTGTATCCCAGAGATGAATAGTTTTCATCTAATAGTTATTTTAGTAATGCTGAACATAACTGAATATAATTTTTAATATGCCATTTTTACTAAATGGCAAGGACAGTACAGTCCATTTCATCCCAAGGGAAAATTTTTCTCTAAATCTATGTGCATATACAAAAAGAGGAGAATTAACTATTTCACAGATTAGCAGTAATAATCAAGGACACTAAATTCTGTTATCTCAGTTTCTTGAGTTTTATGGCAGTGAACACACCTGTATTATATGATACCAGTTACCTGCATGTCATTAAAATTCATTTTTTCTCCTATTTTTCCCCTATAGGATCATTTTTTTTACTGTTTAAAATGCTGTAACTATTCTACTCTTTTCCCCTCAATGTCTATTGGAAATAATTTGTTTATTTTTTCACATGCTTAATTCCAAGGATCGTGCAAACATTAGTGGTTTAGAGAATCCCAGTGCTTTGCTCTGGTGAAAGAGTAGAATGACAGTACTAGCAGAATTTAAGACTTATCAATATCTAAAAACACTTTATTCTAAAACCATTTAATGTAATACGTACACTAGAAAATAAAAATAATACTAAGTGATTTTCTGAAAAATCACATTTTTTCCCCCTTAACTTTGATTTTATGTATTTGGTACAGGGTCTCACTACACAGCTCAGACTCGTAGTGATTCTGTTTCCGCTTCCCCAGTGCTGGGATTACAGGCGTGCAGCACCACGCCTGGTCTCGGTGGCCAGCTCAGTGTGCCTGAGGCGGGGCTGGCATGGCATGAGGTACCAGGGATCGAACCTGGGTCCTTGTGCTTGCCTAGGCAGCCGCTTAGACCACTGAACTATTTCCATGGCCCAGAAGTCACGAATTTGAAAGCACACTGGTCTGCTTATTAGCAAGTCAAGTATTTTATTAACTACAGCAAATACTAGATAGATAACTCAGACTATTACGATGCACTTAAAATTCCCTCACTGTGGAAGAACTACACACTTGCATAAGACTTTCTTGTTTTATTTTGAGAAGATGAATTAGCTTTAATATCATTCCTCTTTAATAAAGCCTTCCTTAAAGAAACAACCAACGTTCCTAGTTCCTGCTGTGTTACTGATGAAAGGAAATATCAAGTGTACGTCTGCTCCATTATGAGGCTTCACCCATTTCCATTTTTTTCTATTAATATGGATATGTATGAGTCCAATTATTCAGAATTAAGGAAAAAGATTCTGAAAGCAAACTCTTAGACCCTCTGATTTATTGACTACTGTAATATACTAACACCATAATGCAAGTAACAACTCGAAACAGCATCCTAATAAAAGGATACAGTTAAAAGAAAAATCTACACTGTGGCCTTCCTGGAGCTCCCACCAAAAGTATCTTAAACAAGGAAAATCTATTGGAAGCTGAGCTGCCTGGCAACCAGAAGCTGGTTGCTAAGCTGCACTCCTTTAACATGCCATCATGAATGCTAGCACAGTGAAAGAATAATTTGGTATGAACAAAAGCCTATAAAAGAGACTGGGACTTAAGTGCGTCTGGTTTACCCTCTGAGAACAATGCAGCTGCCAAACCAATCTGGAAGCTCCGACATCATTGTTCTGGAAGCCCCACAATCTGCTCTGACTGCAGGAAGTGTGTTCAATGGGCAACATTTCTGATGGGTCCTGAAAAGTTTGGGTTTGGCCTAAGTGCTGTTGTGAGATAATTCTCCAAGATAATGACTTGCTGACCAGATCCCTGAATTGAACGAGGAAATATTATTTTAATACTGAGCACAGTGTTTTCTTTAGGGGGAGGAGAATGTATCAGACGAGATGAATACTTATACAGTCAAGGAGGAACAGCAGAAGGAAATATTTTGTTTCAAGGATAAGTACACTTTCTTAACTTTCCATTTTTCAAAGAAGACCAGGCACTGCTAGGCTTTTAAATGAAAATGAGCCATTTAAAAATGGAAAATGAGCCATACAGGAAAAAAGTATTTAAATCTTTCTATTCCAACATCAAGCTAATATTTTAAGATGCCAAAGGTATCACCTAAATTTGCTCTACTATATCCTTATTATATGTCTAGAAAATAGTGAGAAAACTGGATTATCATTTGGTTATTTTTATAATAGTGAACACCAAGTCTACTTGTGTACAGATACAGCTAGTTAACATCAGGTACTTTTAACTTGTAATAATTCAAGTAATTTGCACAGAATATTTAATAAAACTTTTATAATAATTAAGCTGATATTTAATGCTAATGATAAATGTTAAGTTGGCTGTTTTTATAAAATTAACATTCATAGTGAGACCCTTCACAAAAAAACTAGAAAAAATTAATATTCAATTTTATAAGGTAACAGAATTTTCATTTTAAAATATTCTGGCTGAACTCTTTCAGACTAACAGGCCTCTTTTCACTGGTTAGCTCAGAGAAAGTTACCTAATCCCATC